CGCCGCTGAAAGTGTGTATCAGCAGCGACAATATTAGTCGCCACTGAATCACACTTTAATTTCAGCGGCGACAACTACTGTCAGTTTGCTAAAAAGACATCCTGTGGTGACAATTGTTGTCGCCGCTGAAAGCTGCATCTACAGTGGCGACAATAGGTAGTCGCCGCCATTACTCTCATTTTTGGCGGCGACAATTGTGTCGCCGCTGAAAGTTCTAACTTTTAGCGGTGACACTTATTGTCGCCACTAAAAGTTATAGTTTTAGTGACGACAGTTGTCGCTAAAAGTCCAATTTTTTGTAGTGAAGAAATTGTGAAAGTTTATTAAGATTGTAAAACTTAGTTTTGACTTGAGAGAACTTAATTAACATTTGTGGACCTTGGACTAACATATCTTATCATTGAAACACTAAATGAGAAGTTCTAATAAAGTTTTATGAAATACAATAGTAAGAAATAATCTTAGATCCTTATTTGTCTCAAAGTTAAGTTTTTAAACTTTGATTTTAACCTTTGTTTTCAAAAAGTACCTTTCTTAAACAACTTCATTGACACATTAATTTCATTTAACCTAATCATGAATGCAATTATGATTTTTAATTCATCTGGCCTTAGTCTTTGAATGAACGATACTTTTTATACTACTTGTGACCTATGGTTTAGCAGTTAAGCTAAACGGAAAACAGTGAGCCACGTAAGAGCTACCCAAATAAGCCAGGAGCTAGGCTTTACCCGGACCGCTGAACTTGGAAAATATTTAGGAGTATTGCTGCATCGTGAACGTGGGTGACGAAAGGGACGTTTGAATTTATCATTGATAAAATCAAAAGCCGCCTGAGTAATTGGAAAGTTCGTAGCCTCTCTCTTGCAGGGCGAGGAACGCTGGTCAAGTCCGTAATTAATACGATGCCGGTTTATACCATGCAGGCCAGCCACCTTCCGGAGAGCAAGTGTGATCGAATTGAAAAACAAGCTAGGGACTTCATGGCTGGCTCATCAGAGGAAAAGAGGAAGATGCACCTCATGTCGTGGGATACGGCGTGCAAAAAGAAGAAGCGCGGTGGACTCAGGCATGCACCATGTAAAACAACAAAACCAAGCCTTCATGATGAAGCTGGAATGGGGTCTTGTCAAAAATGGGGACTCCTTGTGGGTTCAAGTGGTACGCCCAAAGTAGTGGGGTGGAGATGATTTATTCCCCAATATAAATGCTCACAAGGCGGGAACGAACACCTGGAGAGCGATAAAAACTAACTGGCACCATACGAAGGCAGGAATATTGCAAGAATGTCAGACCCCAAGTAGTGACACGATGGTTAGATGGCGTTGGGAGAAGAGGGGATCCTTTACCACGAAATCAGCGTACTCAGCTCTAAATAACGCTAGTCCCCCACCAACTAGATCCATCTGATTGAAGGATTTATGTTCAGGATGGAACACGGGGTTCTTGATGGGTTTAAAACGAGAATGGGAGCTGGGCCTAAAAAAGATCCCAGCGGCAGCGACTCAGGGGAAGCAGTCGGACTAATTTGCATGGACACCACTCTCATAACATGGAGGCGTTTGATTCTTGAGTTAGTGAAGGCGTTGGAGGAGGCATATTCGCAGCTTAATGAAGTTGGAAGATTCCTACTTGTTGGGCTAGATAAAAAAAAGATTGCTTGTTATGCCTCGTGTTTGTAGAGACAGGTCCTACTGGATCATGAGTTAGTTTTCCTGTCCTTGAATCATTAGTGAGCCCAACTCCTTGCTAAAATGTTTGTATTAAAAAAAAATTGCACGGACACCCAGGATACACATGAGGACCTGCAAATCATCATGGAAATCAGAAACATGATCAACCGAGAGTGGCGAATCAGCTTCCAAATCATAGACAGATCTGCGAATGCCCATGCGGATTACCTTGCTAAGAATGCCCTGAACATGGGCATGGGCCTCCAAATCTACCCAGGTGCTTTGATTATGGAGATGGAAGCGCTTAGGAGTGGGGCCTAGTTCCTCGTCTGCAGGCCTTTTCCTTTCTAGCCTATGAAAACAAAAAAACACAATACAAAAATGTAATGTCTCCTGTTTCTAGAGGTCTAAGAATTGAGGTTGATTATTCTTGACCTATAAATAGTATAGTCTATAATATACTTCATATTTTGTTTACACACTGATAATGTGATTTTATATTTATTTATTTATTAAAACAAATATTAAACTCACGTCTTGAAACTTTTTTTAGGTAAAATAAGAGTATTTCTAAGTTACATTGGATTTGAGATTAATATCTTTTGAGCCTGGAATGGTTAAAGAATAGTCTTGCCAATAAATGTGTTTCCTAGGATCTGGACTTGTGTTCTCCTCTTTATGAGGGTGAGGCTGCTATTACTTCAACCAACAGCTTGTTGGTTCATGCCTTGAAACTTTGATCGTAAATTTAATGTAAAACTATAAATTCTCTTAATTAATTTGAAAAAAATATAAAAGTTATATTTCATATTTCTTCATTTTATTTACAGAATTATTATGCTTCTTTAAAAATTTATTTTGATGCCATAAACTATATAAATAATTCTGTTTTACAATATTATTTTATGAAAATATTCTGATTTCATAATTAATTCTTTCACGAAATCATTATTGTATTTAGAATTATATTTGTTTGCTGCAAGTTCTCAAACATCTTAAGCGTAAGGAGCCACACTATTCAATTTCTTAAATCTTCCTTTTTGGTTAATTAATATTTTTAAGTCATGAGAGAAAATAATAATCCCTCCATCGCCTTTTGATTGACACTAATAAAGAATTGTTTTTACAATTTTTTTTGGTTATTTTTAAGTTTTAAGACAGAATGGAGTAGTATCATTTTTACATGAACATACTCATCATTAATTTTAGAAGTCCAATGGAGCATTTATTGCTAAAATAAATAAATGACACATTAGAGAAGTTTATGAGAAAAAATATTCTGATATGTATCAATCTTTTTGTTTTTTGGCCAGCGCGCATGTATTAATCTTTAGTCCACAATAATATTCTCCAATAATTGAATATTTTTATCACTACGGGCCTTTTCATGAGCCCTCCTGAAAATTGCGTGTATACAGTTTTAATAGTATTATTTTTATTCTTTTAATTAGGAAGGATAAACGTTAGCGGAAAAAAAATTACGAAGGATAAAACTAGAATATTATTTTTTTTTGGCAAATTTAATAATAACGTATTCTTGAGATGCATAAAAATGTTGAAAACACCTTCTTAATTATAAGGACCAGTGTACTTGTTTCTTAATATGTGTGCTAAAACATTAAACATGTGAAAAAAATGGAGGTATAGTAATGTTGAAATGACAATTTTGAGGTCTGGCAAAAAAACAAAAATGACAACTTTGAGGACTAGCATCAGCGTCGCTCTCCCTCTGAATGCCTCACATCTACCAACAATATATATACAAATACACATACAGTAGTGGACTTTGATAATGATTGAAAAAAGTAATAAAAATAACTAGGATTAACTCTAGCTAAAGGAGCTAATCTCTCATGATTTAAATCCCTACTAAAAGAGGTGCTCACAATAAATACCTAATAGTGTCTCGAATAGAATTACATCCGATAAAAAGATATATGTGTCTAACTAAAAAAGAAGGAATAAATAAAAAGATAATCGGCATAAAATTTTCATTTATTAGTACACCTTCAATTTATAAGGGGGGTGATTGATTTAGACGAACAGTTATAACTAAATATTACATTCTTGGTCCTATATATAAATTTCAAATTTAAGGAGAGGTGTGGTTCATTTTATAAGCTTCAATTTGGTATTCATCTTAACATTTAATCTTTTTTTATTTTTCTAATTTGGCCCTCAATTATTTGTTCTCTCTCCTTATTATAATTTCTCTTATCACATTGCTCTACATACTCTTTCATTCTTTTTCTTATTTATTATAAGGTTATGTTTAAAAACAGAAATTTATTTCTAACCTATCTATTACTTTTAACTAATTTTAATTAATTGTTAGTTATCCGCAAATTAGTTATTTAAAACTATTAATAAAGATGGGAGGGAGTAGTAATCATAGCCTTGCATTCCCTGGAAAAGCAAATAATTTCTTGTGTTCTTTCTCAATCAATGTATAAATGCGTAAACGATGAGATAGATATGGGTTCTCTCTATCTCCTTTCTCCTTTTCTTTTCATAATTTTATATCCAGTTTTAAGCGCACTTCCTCCACCATAGTGTGATTAAAAAAAAAGTGAATGCTTCATATTTAATATTTTATAAAATATTATTATAAACATAAGTATATAAAATTAAACTGTTAAAATTTGACATGCAGAGCTCATAACTGCAGTATATAAAAATAGAAAAATTTAAATTTATAAAATAATAATATTAAAAGATATTAAATATGAACCATCCATTTTATATCACAAGGTAGAGATAAAATCGTAGGAAGAAAACGAGAAAGAGGAAACCGAGAGCATCTTTTCCCGATGAGATCTACTACCTTTTTTTTTTTTTTGCTTTTTGGTTCGATTTGTTTTGTCTCTTTCTCATTACTATTTTTTTATTTGTTGTTAACTAGCTCATAACTAAGATGAGGTCCATGATCACAAGGATTTATGAGATTATCTTGACACTTATCTTAGCTGGCGATAGCAGACAACGACATATAATTGAAGTGCCTATGGCATTAATAGATAATGCTATTTTAATTAAAATGCACATGGCCCTTCATTGTTAATTGCAGACCCAAATTTTTTTAATTAATTATTTTGATTCCGAAAGAAAAACATGATCATTTTGCCTTCATATATTATAATTAATGATGCCAATTGTAAACTTTTTTTTCATCATTTATAAAATATGTCACACTTTTTGGCATCGCACTCCTCGAATCCTTCTATAAATACCCTTCACGTCCTTGAACCCAACTCATCGAGATCTTTTTTTCATATATCCATTCTCCGTCAGTGTGAGTTCTTTATCTCTTTCTCAGTGAGAATATTAATGGCGGGTGAGAACATGAAGCTTCCAGGTCCTTCATATGGGAATATTGTCACAGTTCTTAGTATTGATGGAGGTGGTGTTAGAGGTATCATTCCTGCTGTAATTCTTCAACGCCTCGAGGCTGAACTTCAGGTTCCTTATTTTCTTCAAAATCTCATATATATGATGTTCTTTCATTCATCAACTTAATGAAGTTACTATTTATTCGAGGTAATTAAAGGATTTGTATTTCTTTTTTGTTTCGAGTTGGATGTTTCGATTTTGGCACATATAAGGGTCTGGATTCAAATCTCATTGTAAATATGAAGATCTTATTAGTAAGTACATATAAGCACGACGATGTTAACTCTTTATTATAATTTGATTGGTTGAGACTTGAGAGGCCCGATTTTCTTGAAATCTCGTATACATGATGCTACTTTATTTTACATGATTTTATTCATTAATTTAATGAATTTATTATTGGAGGTAATTAACGGATTTGCATCCATGCACGTGGATGACCCCTTATTATAATTTGATGGGTTGTATCTAGTTGAAGAGCTAGTTTACAATGTGATAAATCAATGTTTGAATCTTTATTAGGAGATATGCTCACATTTAATACCTGCTTCCCATGGAAGAATACATTCACTCCGCTTGTTCTTTCAAATCCATAATTTTTTCCTAAATTCTCCCTATTGGTTAAACATAATAAGGAGTTTTTCGTCAAGGGATTTAATTTCCAATACAAATAATTAAAAAAAGATACTTTAGAAAACAAACACATTTTTTTAACAAATAAATAAATTATTTTTTAATATCTGCAAATAAATTATCTAACTTCTACAAGATTATTGGAGGGAGTCTTATGCTATAAGAAAATAATTTTTTTAATATGCTGCAGATGTTTGTTCCTAATAATAATGGACTTATTATCCTTGGGACACGGATGAATTTTTATTTGATAATTGAAAGTACAGAAATTATTAAATTAACATTTATAATATATGGACAAAAAACAAGAAAAGATCGCACATCGTCCTGAAGGATCAAATTGTATACGGGAAAAGAATACTCTGCAAAGTAACATATATTTTCCATGTATCTATATTGGTAATTAATGTTTCTGGGTAATTAATTTTTTTTTTTGGTTGCAGAAATTAGAGAACAATGAAAATGTGAGAATCGCAGATTACTTTGACGTGATATCAGGAAGCAGCACCGGGGGACTGATCGCTGCTATGCTCACAGCTCCTAACCCACAGAATCGTCCTTTGTTCTCTGCTCCTCAAATTGTTCAGTTCTACAAAGATGAATGTCCCAACATTTTCCCTCAAAAAACATTTTCCAGGTACAATCCACATTTTCTCGTTAATATATATATCCTTTTTTTTAATTTTATAGTCTAATTAACAATAATGATATTTTATTATTTATGAAGCCCTGAGGAGGCTGAGGCCAAAACTCTGATGTTAGGGCCCAAGTATAAAAACGATTACTTATGTAAAATCACAAGACAGAAATTGGGACAAACAAGATTGAGTGATACTTTGACAAATGTTGTTATCACAGCTTTCGACCTTAAGAAAGTTTTGCCTACCTTGTTCTCAACTTATAAGGTACACTTTCTATTCTTTATTTAGAAAAAACCTATCTTAGATTAAGTCTCACTTTAGGCTGAACTCTCCCAATATGGGTAAAACTGGAACTTGCTATGTATGTTACTTCCTACCCTCTTTTACATAAGTCACTTTTTTAACTTTAATTTTAAAGGTGACATGTAACTAAGAATCAGAATAATAAAACCCGATATTAATAATAGGGCTTGTGTGATAATTTGTTGATGCAGTTGGAAGAAGTGCCCAAATTGAATGCTTTGTTGTCAGATATATGCATAGCAACTTCAGCAGCACCAACGTATCTGCCACCATATCGCTTTGACAATGACGGTGAAGACTTCCATTTAACTGATGGTGGTTTAACTGCACTTAATCCGGTAATTATACAACAATTACATTGTCATAACCCCAAAATTAATATAAAAGTTACATAACTAATTTGAAGATATTAAGAAAATTAATTAAATTAGCTATTTGTAAATAAATGTGTGAGGACTATTTTAAACCATCATTTTTAACCATGTGCATTGGAACCACTCCTTAGTAGGAACTACTTATAATCAGTGGAGATATTTTGAGGAAAACACTATAAATTTGAAAGACAAAGTGTGGATTAAAGTCTTATATTTAACATTTAACATTAAATTCTATCTCCAACTAGTTCTTATATTTTAACAAGAGAAGGTAGTAAATAATAATAATATTCATATATACTTGTTTTATTGTATTATTATAATCTTCACACACACACACACGCTGGTTTGATGGATTAGCTTGGATATTATTAGGGTTTGGTTGCTTTGAGCGAGGTAGCACAACAGAAGCAGAAGAATCCAGAGCTATTTCCGATGATGCAGAACCCAAATGACTATACCAAAATCTTGCTCATATCTTTGGGCTGTGGGGCGTCAGCGGTGAAGAATGAGTATGATGCGGATGATGCAGCTAAGTGGGGCCCCCTGAGATGGGTTTTGAATATTCGTCTTGTACCTTCAATCTCAATTACATCTCCCCTTTCAGAATTTGCGTTTAGTGGAAGTAGTTCCACCACTGATTATCACCTCGTTTCCCTCTTCCATGGCCTTCAAGCTGATGACAACTATCTTCGAGTTCAGGTATTTCCTGAACAACTCATTCTGTTATATCTCATAACAATACTCAATTCCACTTAATAAGTCTTCTTAGTTCAAGTTTGGGATAGCGTTAGCAAGCCTTAGAAGTTAGTTGAGATGGGAAAAAAAAAATTAGTTGGATGGAAAAGAAAATGAAGTTTGGTATGGCTTTAAAAGGCAACTGACTTTTTATTTAAAAGCAAGTTCAAGAAACTTTTTCTGACTTTTGGCTTTTAGTTTCTCTTCCAATTTAAAATTTTTGAAATTGACTTTTTAATATATCATTAAATTAAATTTCTGCCTAACTTTTTTTTAATAAAAATCTGTTCAAATATAAATCTTATTACACTAATTGACTTTTGCTCGAGCTTTAGTTTGTGAAAGATGATTGGGATAAAAGTTATTTTTGCCAACATTAATCCAAATATACTAGGGGGTATGAGCAAGTAAATTCCCTTATTAACTATGTCAATCAAAGGGCTGTTCGGAAAAATTGTTTAAAAGTTTTGACAATTAACTACTTTTAATTAACTAATTTTTTTTAATCCCATGAAAGTTGTTAGCCTTGTATAATTAGTAACATATGGAAGTATAATTTATGTTGGTGCAGGATGATACATTAACACCAGAAATGGCAAAACCTGACAATTCCAAACCGGACAACCTACAAAATCTTGAAGATTTTGCCGAGAATCTCTTGACGAAAAAGATTAAAAGAGTAAACGTGAACACTTTTGAGCTTTAGGAAGTTCCCGATAAGGGTACATACGAAGAGAATCTGGCAAGGTATATATATGTTTTATATATCTACACCCTAAAACATTAACTTGGTAATTTGTCTCCAAAGCTTTATTTTTATTATGTGCACGTAGGTTGGCCAAGATTCTGTACGAGGAGAGAAAGGCTCGCCTGGGGAGAATGGCTTCTCTGAATTAAAGGACGTCTGTGACATTCAAATTCTGTAATTTGAATCGAACTAGCCATGCAACATATGGTCATTTCAATTTATGTGGGTTACAAAACCAGTGAAATTATTTTTCTACTTTTGTTGATTTCTGCATCTCGTTCTGTTGTGTTATTAGGGATAAAAACATCGAGTTGTGAAGAATAATTAATATAGCTTCACACTTCATGTTCCCTTCTGTGTTGTAACTGTGCGTTTTGTCTTTTTCTCATCGCCCTTCCGTGGTTTTACGTTAGAATAAAGTTGAAACCTTGCTGGAAATAATGCATGATTGAATAAATACTGAATCGTTGTGTTGTTAACGACTTGGAATTTTTCATATTTTACATTATGAAATAATACTAATTAATAATATTCTCCATAACGTTTTAATAAAGTTATTAAATGAGACCTTTTAATTAATGATATATCCAAAAATTTCACTATTGATGAAGCACAATGATGTTATGCAATCTAATGTATTTTATCTTACCTAATGAGATAAAGCGTGTTATTATCATTGTTGTAGTGAGTGAATACTTTTAACTTCCTCAAAAATCATACATGAGTAGCATATGAATAAAAAATATACTAGGAAACATATACTATATTAGTATTTATAGATTATGAATTGAATGGCATATTCTCAACCCCATGCAACGAAAGTCATCCATCTCAAACAAATAGCTCTAGATGTACTCCCTCCCATCCTTGTTAGTGAACACCTTCTAGAAAATATGTTTGGCCATTTTTATGAAAAAAATTATAAATTCATTTCCTCAAACACATGCACGAGTGAAACAATTTTCTTTCTTTTCTTTTCTGGACCATTCTTTAGGTTTTTATAATGTAGTGATAGTGATCCAAGTGAAAAAGTGTAAAGCATCAGTATTAATTAACTTTTTTTTAAAATTCATCAAGAGTAAAACTACTCTAATACTCCTCCGTTCTTAAATATAAGACCCTTATACACATTAGTATCAGGGTCTTATATTTAGGACCAGAGGAGTATTCATTATATGCAAAAGCTACTTTAATTTTGTATAACTAGTTAGAATTTATCATCACATAACGGGATCGAGGTGATGGGTCCCACATATCAGAAAGAACTCACTCACACAGCCCATATGCCTTTGAGAATAAACTCATAGTATTTTACTATTTTTGTTTAAAACAAAGTTTGATCCTTTTGGAAAAACATGGTTATAAAAATATTGCTTTAGAAAATTATTATTCTTAAATGTAGTCTCTGGTTGCGATCAAAGAACTAGATTCCCAGTTGCGGAAGCAATGAAACGGCGAACAGTTTTTATAAAAGTCATCAGCGCAATTAAATAGAGCTTGACAAATATGAACGCAGCTATACACTACGCTGTGCCTAATTTTATCTATGACCGAAAAGGTTACTACAAAAACCCCTTAATGATTCAATAGTATGACCTCTTTTTCTAGTTTAGAATTTAATTTATTTTACAGTGAATAAACTATTCTCTCGAAGCTAGAGTAAAGAACATAAATATCATTGTTTCGTAGCATGAAAACTTTATCGAAAGTAAGAGGTTGCAAGTTCAATCTGGCACTTACATATTTTTACTTTTAGATCATTAGCGTCCGTGTCTTTAATTCAAAAGAGTAAAGATCATACGAGGAAAATAATTAGATTGTGAAAATATGTTATAGTCTCTTATGAACAAGGGATAGATAGCTTTGATCTAAGCTATTATTAGCCACCATAAATTCAATTTTTATGAATATTAAAATGGAGGGTTGAAGATTAAGCAATTAAGAGTAAGTATCAAAACCACCGAGCTATTCAAATTCTATTGAAACACATTCTGGTGGCGATAGTTGCCAAACTCTCACGCCACCTGTTAGAATTATTGAAAATATTTTTTAATAACGAATTAAATTACTTTTAAACAAAAAAAACAATTACAATGTTTTAAATATGATACCAAGAATTTAATATTGGATGCGTAACAATTTGAATATCCTCTTACTTACCCTGCCATATAAATAAGGAGATGGATCTATAAATAACTTTGAAATCCTTGAGAGGTTTCTCAATTACCGAATCCCTGTGTATTCATTAGCTTTCAAAGTTCCCTTTCTGGCTCACTTGTTCTGAGGTCTGATATATCATATACTTCATCAATGGCCTCCGTTTCTGAAAAAGTCCCTTCTCATTCTTCTGCAAAATATGTGACTATTCTGAGTATTGATGGAGGTGGTGTTAGAGGCCTCATCCCTGCCATCCTTCTTCAGTTTCTAGAAACCGAGCTTCAGGTGTGATCACGTTAATTTCTATCGGCTAACTTTACTTTTAGTCCTTTAATCTGATACGAGATTTCAGTTTAACAATCCCTAATTTAATAAATTATCTATTCAATCTTCTAAACTTGACAACGTTAGGCTCAAATCATGATGGTTTTTTGTGCCAATCATTGTTATTTTGAAAAACTAAACTTCATATGATAATATTTGTGAATGTTTTGTCAACGTTGAATTAAAAATTCAACATGAGAATTTTTTTTGTTAATTTTTTTTTGCCAAAGGCATGTTTTGGTAATGAAGTTAATAATGTGAACGTTAAAAAAAAATAAAAAAAGATGCTTTATAAAATTAATGAATCTAAATGAGTCCTTGTGTGAAGGTAATAAAGCACCAAAGGTGGACTCTTGCCATTATTTAGTTTACGCACACAATATTCAACAAATGAATTGGGTCGAGTGAAAGGAAGTTGGACTCCTTAAGAGTAAGATAGAAGGTTAATGAATTTGATAATATTTGAATATGACTTGTTACTAGTGTGAATATTAGACGATTTTGTCAAAAAGAACATAACAGTGGATCAAGTGCATTATGCCTCACTGAAAAAATAATAATTATTGTATTTCTTTTTATCCATTACAAAATTATTTATTTCCTAATAACATCTCTTTTTTTCAAAAAGAAAAAGAAAAAATCCTAAAAAATGACTGTTAAATTTTAAAATTCCAAAATCAGGTATTATTATAAAAATGTGTCATCATTTGCTTTTCAAGTTTAGTCATTTTCTTTACAAATATAATAACTAATACTGATTTGAAGTTTTGAAATTTAACAGTTTTTTTTATAGAATTTTTCCATTCTCTAACATCAACGTGGTGTGAATTTCAGAAATATGAGAAAAATGCAAGGATCGTAGATTACTTTGATGTGATTGCAGGAACAAGCACAGGAGGACTCGTTGCCACAATGTTAACAGCTCCTCATCCAAATCACAAAACTCGTCCTTTGTTCACTGCTTCTCAAGTCGTTGAATTTTACAAAACCAAATCTCCTGAGATTTTCCCTGACGGACATGCACTTTGGTACGATCCGTGTCCCTTTGTTTACGCTTCTAATCATAAATCAATATGATGTTTCTCTGTTTTTTAATTAAAAAAAAAGTAAATGTAACCATGTCGAATATAAAATATTCTTTCTTGATTTCACAATGTTTTTAGGTCTAACAAAAAAAAAAGTACTTTATTTGTAAGTTGTGACATCTTGGCCAAGCCAACTGGTAAGGTTGCAAATACATAGACTTTTCATTGGAAGATTGTGTGTACTTGAAGATAACTAACACACTTCACCACTTGAGTATCATTCAATGTTCGGTAATTTAATTTTCTCGTCCAATACCAATATGGTTAGTCCAGTCCCTGATGTTGATATTATTGTGATTTTGATCCCTGAAATTTGATATCATTTTGATCTGTCTAAAGATTTTTGGCTCTTGAAACATTATTTTTTTAATTTCAGGTACCAAATAGGATCTTTAGAACTTTCATTGAAGATTGTGTGTAAATGCATTTCTATATTTGCAGGAAAAATAAGATCTTAGATTTAATGGAAGCCGTGACAGAACCCTAAAGACAAAGCCAATCCGATGAAGGAATAGCGTCAATGGCTAAAACGGCAGCCCTTAAGGCTCTTGAAGTAGAGACTCAGGGTTTGTTGGTGGGACCCTCATATAACAGAAGTCCTTTACAGAAAATTTTGCAAGACGAATTAAGAGAAGTTCGTCTTCATGATGCTTTGACCAACGTTGTCATCCCTGCCTTCGACATCAAGCGAATTGCTCCTACCATCTTCTCAACCTTTAAGGCATATTTTTGGGTCCTTTTTTCTATGTATGTGTGTTTATATATATATTTTTTCTGTATTAAATATAAAATTTAGTTAAAAATTTATTTTATTTCTAAATATAAAACTCAATTCATTTTGTTTCTCAAATTTATAATTTTTTTTTAAAACTATTTCTTATTGATTGCACATATTAAGATTTCTGTCATGGTACATGTAGTTCCAATATAAATGATTAAATAGGGTGTTTTTGGGGGAAAAAAACTAATACACACATATATAATAATTCCTATATTAAAGACCGGAAAGAGTACATAAATCATTCATGAATGTTTTCATGTTGATTAAAAAAAATATAGTTTATGATCTTAAAATTATTTCATCTTTCCAAAAATACTTCTAATTTTTACCCACCTCTCTCAGTCATTTTTCCTACAATAATTATTTAATAATATAAATAGAAGGGAATCGCTTTATATACTTTATAAAATTACTTATAAATAATAGTGAAGGTAATAATAAAATTCTTCAACATATACGTGATTATATATAAATATAATTTTCTAAATAGAAGTTTAATTTGGTTGCATATATGCAGATAGAAGAAGTGCCTGCATTGGATGCCAAGCTTAGTGATATATGCTTAGGGACTTCAGCTGCGCCCACATATTTGGCTCCCCATTATTTTGAGAATGCAAATCAAGAGTTCCATTTGATTGATGGCGGCGTATCTGCTCTTAATCCGGTAACTAAACTACTTACATTTTCTTTAATCAATATTTATCTTTATGTGGGTCCATGCGCTAATGTCAAAGAGTCTAACCTAATATTATATTAGTTTTATATATTAGTTTAAAATATATAAAATTCCCCTAAATTTTGGATGAATTGCATATAACCATGACCTTGATATTATTTATGTTAATAAATATAAAAAAGAAAAATTATGTACAAATACGCTTTTCGAATTTCATCTAATACAAGTAAATCTCAACGATATGACATTTACAAGTTAAACCTTCATATTTACAAGACGAATTGTATCATTTGCAAATTTAACTTGTATAAATATTAATCCCTCATGACCTATTAGTATTAACTAAAACTCAGAAAATGTATATATATTTAATTTTTTTTTGAAAGTATACTATAGGGTTATCAGAGGCTTACCTACTAACCAAATTTGGGCATGGCCTATTTAATGAAAAAATTAAGGTTAGATTGAAGCTTACATCTAGGCCTCTGAATAAAGTAACATGGTCTATAAGCTTGTTGGGATAGCCCTGTATGCTTATAGGGATTAATATACACATAAACAGAACTTGGACCTCTTGTACTGCTTAGTTCAATTATCAATCCTTCATAATTTATTTACAGATCACGGCATTATGTATATATTATAGGGTTTAGCAGCCATTAGTGAGGTGGCTCAACAGAAGAAGGCAAACCCTGGGATCCTTCCCATGATGAAGGATCCAAGTGACTTTACTAATTTCGTGATGATATCTTTGGGATGTGGCACTGAACCTAAGAACGCTACGCATGATGCTCGAAAGGCTTATTGGTGGGGCACTCTACGTTGGATATTTGGTCCCGTAATTGAATTTATGTATGGAGGAAGTCAAGACATGATTGATTATCACCTTCTTACTCTTTTCCGTACAACCGACCTAGAGGACTTCTACCTTCGAATTCAGGTATATTATTGTATAATCTCTAGTAAGTGCCATCAACAATCATGTAATTCAGTTAGTGTGCAATTAGGTTAAATACTCGTTGAAAGAGTTTTGTCATCTTAATTAGTTGTATTATTCACAGGTCACCAATAGTATAACTCACTCGATCTTTTGGCCTAAGGGGATCTTTTGGTTTGCCTAAAAAGCACTTAAAAAGGTGTTTTTATATAAGTCGAGGCAAAACTCTTCTTACATACTTACTTTATATACTGTAAAACCAGTTTTAAAAAACTAATCTAAACACCTCTTTTGTGCAGCACACGAGGCCGAAGATCTAGTGAAGTATTGTTACCAGTCCTCCTTCCGCTCCCTTACATATAAAATGTCTTCTAAAAATAAAAAATATTCTATTTTCACGCAGGTAATCATGAGGTTGCAAAAATTACAAATATAAATGATATTTACAGCCCTTTAATTAATCATGGTACAATTGGAATAATTATGATATGTTTTAACAAATTTAATAACCTTCCGTAATCTGTGTTTGTCTGAAACATGTTATATAAGGAGTCAGAGGTAGTAACTTGTCTTGCGAGATGGATGATGCATTAACCAATCTCCGTGATGATATAGGATGACGCGTTAAGCGAAGAGATGGTGAAATTGGACAACTCATCAAAGCAGAATTTGGGCAATCTTGAAACATTTGCGAAGGAGCTCTTAAACAAACCAGTTAAAAGGATGAATTTGAACACTTTTGAGTTCAAGCCAGTTCCTGGAAAGGGTACGAATGCTGACGCTCTTAAAAGGTATATCAATCTGTATTGTCATTTTTTTTTGTCATGACATATAATTTTTTTTTGAATATTTCTTTGTTGTTTAATATATCTGAACAACTTCAACAGTAATAATTATTAACTAACTTCACAAAGGTTAGCTCAATTTCTTCCACATATATATACACATGTTAATTACAATCTCTTGATTTTTAGATGTTATTTTATATTTAACATTTTCACATTCAGTGGTGGTCTATTTAAAATAAGTATAGCAAAATCATTATATTAAATTACTATCTCTACTCCTTTAATATAAGATCCAATTGACTGATTTGAGGATATTAAGAAAGCCAAATAAATTAATTTAAAATATTTATATTTATTGTTTTTCTCTGAACTAATTTTCCAAACTTATAAACTGATATATAATCTAATAATACACATAAATATTCTAAAGAGATTTAATATATATTATAATTAAATAATTTATTTACTTCTTTAATCTCTCAAAATCAGTCAACTGGCTCCTATAGGCTGAAGGTAATATATGGTTCTTGAACTTAACTTTTGTTCAGAAAAAGAGTTTAAAAAAAAACATTGGGGTTACAAGGGGCAAAAACAAAAAAAAAAAAAAAAGGAAGGAAAAACACTCAGTGGCCAGTAGCTACTTTATAAATTTCCTGGCAAACAATTGAAGATTATGTTTATTGTTTATTCTGTGTAGGATGGCGAAGCTTCTGTACGACGAGAAACAGAATCGTCTGAAAGGAAACAGCAGCAACTAATTATTTTTCATTCTCTCTTTCTTGTGTGTGTGTGTGTGTTTTATGTTTGCATTTAAATTTCTATGTTTCATGTTGTTGTATTTCAGTTCATATGGATTAATGTTGTGTTGAGTCAGTTCACACTTTCCTGTGGTGTTATAGCCTTCTTATAAAACATATGACTAAATTCCATTTTACATATTAATTATATATGCTTCAGGATTAATGTATCTTACCTTAAAATAGATTAAGTCATTGATTAGATAAGAGTTACTTCAACTTTATGCAATATCATTTTGCTTTGGTCCCTTAATTATCGAAAGAAATTTATTTTAGTCTTCTAATTAACATTAACACCATTAGTCTCAAACGATGAGTTTCTTTTTATGCCAATTATAGTTAATTTTAAAAATCTAAACTCAACGCATCGGCATTTAAAAATGCTTTGTTACTATTAATATTTAAAAATTCAAAGATAGTTCTTTTGTTAATAAAACTAACGGTGTTAGGATTTAAACGACTGAAACACTTTATAAAATCATTGATTAAAATTAAACCTTGTATTAAGTTAAATTATGAATGACGTATTTTTGCACATTTTTTCATTTTGAATCATTAAGACCAGGTCTTAATGATTTAATTTTATTTATTTTTCAGCCAACGATTTAATTTAATTTAATTTATTTTTTACATTTCAACAATTGAATGATACATTCATGAAATATTAAATCCAAAGCATCTAAAGTGGAGAGAAGCTTAATTATATCCACCGCCCCCTTTCCTCCCTTTCGTTCGCATCTCTGAATTATTATGTGTGACTATACATAATATTCCCAAAAAAATGTATTCAAAGTGAAATTATTTATCTAATATAACATTTTTAAAAAAAATATAAAATGTACACACACAGGCAAAGTGTGGAGTAATGCTTATTTTAGGTCCCCCACCCCAAAACAAACCAAAAATAATAGACCGGCTACAGATTTTTTTTTTTCAATTCCAATTTTTGATGATGATGATTCAGTTCCATCTATTTTATATGGTAGTTACTTGATATCATATCAAAACGTACGTGACATTTTGTAGAAGATAAGAGACTGCCTTAAGGAAAATCATTGGATGGCAAATTTTCAGGAAATTCTGGGGATAATCACATTAAAAATTTTATTGGTGAGAAGAACATGATAAATTTTCATACACATAAAATAGTAATAGTCTGTAAATTTTGTACCACAAAATATCGGTACTCTGATTTAAGTCCTTCTCCCCAATAAAATTTTCAATGGAAAATTTGTTTCCCAAATTTTCACATGTAGTTAGAATGCAATCAGGATTACTAAAAATGGATTCAAAAGAAACGAGCCAAACAGCTTCTTATCCCTATCTTTTATATGACTTAGGGTTATGCAAAACCACGAGTGCAGATTTTAACTCTCTCGTCGCTTTATCCTTTAATGGCATCGGCCTCTTTTTTTTGTAACGCATTTATATTTTTTTGGCCATATTTCCAATTCATTTATTGCCCCGCGTGTATACTTGTTCGTTAAAACCAAAACAACAAAAAACAAAAGAAAGACAGGAAGAAACATAATTAAGTATTTATTTAATGGACACGTAAAATAAAAAGATAGATAAAAATATTTTTCTTTTTAAGACAAAAAATTATAAATAAATGTGAAATAATACTTCCTCTAGTTTTGAATGCAAGAGTCTAATAACTAACTCACAAATGGTTAAGAAAGTTAATTAAATTTCTGATTTGTAAAAACTATGCACTACGTCCGGTCCTTAATATATGTTCTTTAAAAAAAAAAAAATCATAGTTTTGGCTCTCACAATGGATTTTGAGCATTAACCAAACAGGCCCTTAATTTGGTGTCACCGCCACTGGACCAAGCATAACATGACTGTGGAGAAATGCTTTTATTATTTTAGGTCCCCCACCCAAGAAAAGAACAAAAAAATAATAGAATGGTTCCGTCCTATTGCTGGGATTTTATATTTTCATTTTTGATAACAGGTCCCTCCCATTCTCTATATATATGTGTGTGTGGCATTTTCTTGATGATATGAGAGAATCATGATGGAAAAAGTTTTTTAGATCGCCAAATTTTATCATCAGAATGCAACCTATGATTACAAATGAGTTCCATCTCAAAATATTAGACAGAGAAGGTTATAAAACGTACAACAAAAGAGCAAGAAAAGTTAATAATAGAAAAACTCTTAACCCTACTTCTTCAATTTTCAAACACTTAAATTACTAAAATGGGTTCAGGTGTATCCAATATAGTGAAATATTTTGTCAGGTGCATCTATTATCCTAATGTATTTTATGGCGCATTTAGCGTGCTAAGTATTTTTCTAAGCACATCTAATACTCCAAAATATTTTATAGTGCATCTAATATTTTGAAATATTTTTTTAGATACGTCCAATACCCTAAAAAAAAATACTAAAAGATACTTTATAGTGCTTGATACACATTAATATTAGACATTTTGATAAATTAGTGATGAATTTAAAATTGCTAATGAAATAATATTTTAAAAGCACATCTGCTTCTGAAAAATTAATATACTTTAAGAGAAAAATTACACTGCAAAATATTTTAAGGTGCTGAATCAACCTTTAAAAAAAAAAATTTTAGCATACTGAACGCACTGCTGGAAGCACATGCTTCAGGTTGCTTTAACCCTATTAAAATCTGTCACGCCCCAATTTTTTTAATGCCTAGAGCAGAAATAAGAGAGATCTCACACTCCCAAGCCTAAACATATGTAAACAATTGTATAACTAACGTTTTTAAAGTAATCATAAACAGAAGGATCTCATTGAATAAAACCCATCATCTGCTAGCACATTTCTTTTTGAATAAAATTTGGAGGTCTGCTCCCCAGTACCAATGTATCTAATTACATTCCAAAATAACCCAAAAGACTAGGACCTAACCCAAGATTACGTGGAGCATCTAACTAATAAAATAAAGACATACGAGTACTCTTGTAGTTACATTAGCTAGCAATTACTCAAAATAAAATTACATGTTCTGGATCTTTGATAAGGCTCTTCACAGCTCAGCTGGTAGTACAGAGTCTGGAGTGCTATCTGAGGCCAAAAACAAACTATTGGTGAATAACATCCCATTTATCAAATTTAAATGCATTGCTAAAAGAAAAGAATGAAATAACTTTAAATTTGAGTATTAATATGGCAAAGATTTAAGATCTATACAACGTATGGCTATAAATTAAAAAGGTTAAATATGTGATTAAACTCAATAAATCCGTAAAAGCACTTTTCATAATAAAATAACTTGCAATACAAAAAGTATAAAATGTTATATCACATGTAGGACATCAACAGAACGAAACAACAAGCGCGGCTTGAAGCCACGAATACAAGCATGGACACATAGTCCATGAGAGGCAAGTAACCAATCAAGCGTAGCCGGAGCCACGAAACAAGCGCGGGAACTATGCCCACGAATAATCAAGCGAGCTCGAATTTACCGTGGCGCGCCAAGGACTAACAGTACTGCTGCTAGTAACCAGCGTTCTGTATTCAGTCCTCTCAAAATATGTACAAACATGCATGGGATCAATCGCTGACATATAAATATATGGATATATATATTATTTCTAATAATAAAATTCTTTAAAGAAAATTTTGTAACAGGTAATCCCCAAGATACGAATTTTCAAGTAACATCTTCAAAACCTCTATGCAAATTCCAAACATAATTATTAATTAACGGAATAAAGTGCATGGTAAAGATTAAGAGTACATTTTGTTCGTCATAACAAGCAAAATTATTCCTTCAACAAGTAACATGTTAAGACATTTAATGAGTAAAACAAATTTGACAAGATTTTAAATATGATCACTTTGATAAAATGAAAAATAAAGAAAAACTGAAAGTTTAATTGAGTCAATAACAATAAAAGCTTACTCGTAAACACTATAATAATGGGATGTTATCCACTCACCTCTTGTGCTCCCACCTTTAAATGGTTTTGGTTTATAAAACCTTGAGATAAGTTCACTCCTCAATCCCCTAATAACCCAAAATCAAAATGTCAAAGCTCCACTAAAAAAAATCACAGACTTTCTCATTTATAAAATTTTTGACATCACATTTATACTTAGGATCAATATTTTTATTATTATTATTTTTTATCTGACTTATACTCATACTTTTTAAATCATTCATCAACAACCTCAACCAACCTTAACAACCCAACCAAGAATATTGCAAACATCTACGGATTAGCACGTGAGCTGGGAACATTACATATAACTTATAACTCTACATAATCAATAGCACCACCCGTACTAACAAATTCAATTTCTCTATATATAAAGACTGCTAGCTCTTACGTCCTTCAACCACTTCATGGAGACCAATGATTATATCCTAATTAATCCAAATAATATCTATTTTACTCTCCTCCGTCAAGATATCATAGCAACACCTATCAACAATTCTTTTCCTCATGTAAGCATTTTACCAAGCATATTAAAGGCATTCAAAACTGGTTCGCAGGACTAACATTCATCCAATCTAAGAACATTCCTCAAACACTTGTTTTTTTTTTTTTCCATTAACACGCATCATACGAAACAAAATAAACAGCACTACCCAATCACAAGCCTCAAATGATTCCTCCGATCAAAATTGTAAATTACCTTTCAACAAATAAGATCCTTCCTACCTCTTCTAAATAGGCCCAAGAGTTCTCCTTTCTGAAATTAACTAGATGTAACCGTGAAGGAGAAGAAATATGGCTCAAAATGCCTTTAATCGTGCACTTTAGTAGAACAGAATCGTTTTTCCTTAAATAGGCATAACTCTTGACAGCAGCAGAAAGAAAATGGCAACGAAGAGATACTAGAGGCGCTGAAAGATCTTGCAACTCCTCCTTGTGTTTCAGCTATGGAAATCGCTTAAGGAGGAAGAGAAAGAGAACAACGAACTGAAATATTAAGGAGGAAGTAGCAGATATTAGTGCGGAACAGGG